GTGAGGACAAGGTTCCTGACGGTAAGGACAAGGTTCCTGACGGAGAGGACAAGGTTCCTGATGGTGAGGACAAGGTTCCTGACGGTGAGAACAAGGTTCCTGACGGTGAGGACAAGGTTCCTGATGGTAAGGACAAGGTTCCTGATGGTGAGGACAAGGTTCCTGATGGTGAGGACAAGGTTTCTGACGGTGAGGACAAGGTTCCTGACGGAGAAGACAAGGTCCCTGATGGTGAGAACAAGGTTCCTAACGGTGAGGACAAGGTTTCTGACGGTGAGTACAAGGTTCCTGACGGAGAGGACAAGGTTCCTGATGGTGAGGACAAGGTTCCTGACGGTGAGAACAAGGTTCCTGACGGTGAGGACAAGGTTCCTGATGGTAAGGACAAGGTTCCTGATGGTGAGGACAAGGTTCCTGATGGTGAGGACAAGGTTCCTGACGGTGAGGACAAGGTTCCTGACGGTGAGGACAAGGTTCCTGATGGTGAGGACAAGGTTCCTGATGGGGAGGACAAGGCTCCTGATGGTGAGGACAAGGTTCCTGATGAGTAGGGCAAGGTTCCTGACGGTGAGGACAAGGTTCCTGACGGTGAGGACAAGGTTCCTGATGGTGAGGACAAGGTTCCTGATGGTGAGGACAAGGTTCCTGACGGTGAGGACAAGGTTCCTGATGGTGAGGACAAGGTTCCTGACGGTGAGGACAAGGTTCCTGACGGTGAGGACAAGGTTCCTGACGGTGAGGACAAGGTTCCTGACGGTGAGGACAAGGTTCCTGATGGTGAGGACAAGGTTCCTGATGGTGAGGCAAGGTTCCTGATGGTGAGGACAAGGTTCCTGACGTGTGCTCAATAGGGTATATATGAATACTAGCGGACGAACCCTGAATTTTTAGCAAAATTGTTTATTGGTCAATTTTACCAAAAAATCGATTTCTAAATTTCAAACTTCCCTTTCTCAAAAAATCCCCCCAAAATTTGGGAGATCTCGGGAGAAAATCCCGGACTTGGCAACGCTGTAATAACAGTTGTTCGTTCCATTCTTCCCTATTTTAAAAGGCCGTGGAATTTTCCTAGGTGGAATTTTACGCGCGGAGCGGAATTTTTCTTTGTCTTGTGATTTCTTGGATGGAACTAATTAGAAAAGACAAAGAGAAATTCCGCTCCGCGCGGAAAATTCCGCCTAGTGGAAAATGGCCTTACTGGTTTTCGTAACTTTCTCCACATTTTAGTTAATTTTTAATCAGTGTTGCTATCCAAATTCGTGTTTTGCCGTCTACGAAAATAATTTGCCGACAGTAGGATATTCTGGCAATATTTCGCCGAAAACCCAATGACTTTAGGGGTAATTGTTCGTCAATTTTTAGCAACTTTCTCGATTTTTGATAAGTGCCCAAAAATGGCGAAAAAGTAAAGGCTAATCCTTTAATTAAGTTTAATATGGCAAAAAGTGATGGCTTTTTAACTCTTACATTTTCGCCCCCTTTTCTTCACGAAAGAGCCAAAATTGCAAAAATAAAAGCATAATCCCAGAAAATTTTAGTCCATTTATTTTGAAATTTGACTGAAAAGTCCCCCGAAATGGCAAAACATAAATACATAAACCTTTAAATTATTGCCCAATTTCAGCCCCTTTTCTCACTTACGAAAAAGGGACAAAAACGTATACCACCTTAAACTTTAATTTCGTTCATTTTCAGCTATATTTCCAGTTTTGAAAAAGTGCCCTAAGAGCAAAAAATAAAGGATAACTCCTTAAATTATCGTCCAATTTTAGCCTCTTTCGTTAATTTCCAGCCGTTTTTGAAAAATTCACCATTTTTAGCCATCTTTTTTCGAAAAATGTGTAAAAAATGGCAGAAAAGTAAGGTTATTATTTAATTTTATAAAATCATTAATAATTCATGAAGAAAATTCAAAAGAATGAATGTTTAATCAATGTTTGTAAATCGCATAAAGATTTGTCCTGATTTACATAAACTTCAACTTTTTAAAATTACTTCGCCAATGAACTCATAAGATGGGTCGTTTTATAAGCACAATAAAACATGAGCATGCAGCCGATCTTTACCTGATATACAAACTCTCGCGTTCGGCTCGAGTGTTTATATCAGATCATGTTTTATCTAGTGCTAATAAAGCTTTATTTGCATGACGTAATTACAGGTATTGTTAAGAGTTAGGCTAAGCGTTATAAAGTTAAAAGTTAACTATAAAAGACTACTTTAGCTAACGAAAAACAACAATACTGTGCTATATTTACATGTGTAATATTAAATGTAAACGAGTATATAAAATAGGAAAGGATATTTAAATATTCTTGTAAGTTGTAATGTTTTTTAAATATGGAATAAAACGATTATTAGAAGTTTTAATTTGATGTTTCCAAAATGATGTGTAGTTATCTTTAATGCCGGTTTTTACAAAGTCGTGTATGTTTGTATCCTGGACAAATTTTTCAATATATATATATAGACCCATCATTACACATGACGTCACAGCGCCGGAGACGATGCATCTGGAGGACAAATTAGCAATCTATGCATAATATAACTTTTTTGCGCTGTATGTGGTTGTTGTACCCAAACATATATTGTTAGGGAGCATCTGGAGGACACAAAAGGGATTTTTGACGTCAGTGCAATGGGTCTATTGTATCTTCGATATTAGGATATAACTTTTTAATAATGCTTGCAGCAATAGAATAGAATGAATCTTTACCGTTTGAGTAAAGTCTTTTTGACAGGTAAAAAGTTTGTTTCGCTATACTTGTATCTGGTAATTGACTAAGATGTAAGAAAATAATCTTTTGAATATGGGGATTAATAGAGGGAATATATCTAATAGCCTTAACTTTTCGTCCATTTCTAGCCACTTATTTCATTTTTGAAAAAGGGGCAAAAATGGCCAAAAAGGAAGGCTATATAGCCTTAACTTTTCGTCCATTTTTAGCCATGCACTTATTTCATTTTTTAAAAAGGGGCAAAAAATGGAAAAAATAAAGGCAATAACCCCTTAACTTTTCGGCGATTTTTGCCATTTTTGAAGTGCCCCGAAATCGAAAAAAAAATAAAGGGCTAACCCCTAAGGTGTGTAGTCACAACAGTGTTGCTATGGAGATTTCAATGTAGCCAATTGGCGTGACCTAAAACCTTACATCCAAAACTTCCAATATCATTCTATTCCTTTATAATCTCTATATGTTCTTAACTCCCGTGTTCACAGCAACTACCTAGTACCTTCGCCATTGAACAATGCAATGGACGATCAAGTGGTATATTGAGATCAGCTACAACTCATTGTTTCATGAGAGCACCAGCAGCATAACTAACAGAACTATCGTTCATCGACTGACAACTGTTTGATTGCGCGTAGTTTAAGAATTTAAATGAATACTGGGGTGATGGACCATTAGACTGGTGTAATGACTCAACAGCCTGAAAGGATAGGAGAAAATTGTTATATATATTTTCCAGAGAATAGACCTTATGCATAATGACGTCACAAGGTCTGATGCCCGCGAGGAATGCTGGTCTTAGTAGTCATCGCCCGGGCAAATTAAACAATTCAAAATGGCCGCTATCAAATTTTGGTTATTGTTACATGTTTCGTGCACCAATATAGTAATCATTATGTAATGGATATTATAGTGTACTGAAAAGTTAACTGGATACCTCCATACACACCCTAACCTTAAACCTAACCCTAACCTAACCCCTAACCCTAATACCTAACCCTAACCTATATTGATGCGCGAAACATGGAACGATAACCCAAATTTTCCCGGGCGATGATTACTACTAAGACCAGCATTCCTCGCGGGCATCAAGCTTTGTGACATCATTATGCATAAGTCTATTGTCCTATTTTCTAAAGAGAGTCTAAATTGACCTGTGAACTTTCTATATATCTGGAGCAAGAACGTCAGCCACTGGTCCTACGAGAAGTGAAGCCAATATGGTGGAATTAACATCCAACAGTTTTAACGCCACACCATACACCAGCTAAATTCCAGGTTAATTTCTGGTTACCAGTTCATAAAACTATGGTATTATTCTTTAATCGAAGTCAAAGTACGAAATGTAGGGAGACTCCTTGTGGAACGTGTGGACAAAAACAATAGAGAAGGCCTGCACAGCTGACGTCCAATAGCTCCATCTTGGCTTCACTTTTTGGACTTCTTGCTCCAGATATATATATATATATATATATACAGCTCAGAGGAATCGCCACGCAAAATAAATCATTGTTGTACTTACAAACAGCATAACTGCTATGGGATGCCGTCCACATATTGTATTTCCATATTTTTTTAAATAGTCCACAAATTCCTGTGCTTGAAGTTGTTCAATGAGTTCCATTCCCTAAGAACAAAAGACACGAGTGCAATGCAATTTAGCTTATAAATTCTCAACTGCAAGTAAGGATGATCGGCAAATCCCACTTGCTGTAAATCAGGTTGAAAATATTGTATGATCAATAGGACAAGAGTCCCATATCACGACAAATCAAACTATCAATGGTTGGCATTTGTTGTACAAGTGCCACACCCTTCAGTGAACGCAACTGGTACAGTTTCTCTTACCATTCTGTCCAAGGTTTCTATTGACTGGCAGATGTGTTTATGTTTTTTGTCATGGTATGTGAATCGAAATCTTTTACCTAGAATAACATTATATCACACAGTACATAAAATTGTGACACTCCGGGGTCTGTTTATGTGGGGTGAGCCAGCCTGGGTTACCAGAGAAGGGTCAGTTTGTCAAGATACCACCTTTAAATTTTCCTATTAAATTTCATCTTGTGTTTATATGGGAACCAAGCTGGCCCACCTAAGCGTGATCCCACCTTGACTGACCCAAGATGTTGCTACTGGAATTTTCCATATAAACACAATGACCCAGGATGGTTCGACTACTCGGGCTGACAAATATATATATAACGTTGTAAATCACATTTTCCCAACAGATTCGATTTTAGCCCTGTGGTAATACACCCTACTTTATTATTTACTCTGTCTAATGCCAGATGATTTTACTTGTCAAGAGGAGAGTGCTGCCACTCAATGGGTTGACACCCATCATTTCAAAACATCTATAACTAACAAAACAACTGCTTTTACTAATACTCACCCCAATGACAAAAATCTGAGGATATTACAAAGAAATTATTTGGATCACTGAGATATTTGCTAAAGAATTGACCATATTGTTTTTCCTTTTGGTCTGATAATGAACCAACAAGTATAGGTACTATTGTGAACTCATGAAGACATCTAAAATAATTCAAATGAAAATAATTTGACATAAATACAGCTGTAGTAGTAAAATCTAATTTCTTTTCTGTTAAAAAAAATTGATTGCTTCATTTTGCAGAAAATGTTTAATGTCCAACGGAAAGTCTTTTCATCACAAACCCCATACACTTTACAGGAAATTAGAATTTTTATAGGGAGCTTGATAAGCTTATAGGGGAATATTTTGAAAATATGGAGTCTCTAGATCATTGGAAATGGCATTTTCAGAGTCTTTTCCACCTATTTTGTTATGCCCTTCATTACTTCTTTCATTATGATTTGTGAGTCTAAACAATCTGAAAGTCAGAATGCATTATTATTATTATCAATTGGCCAATCATGATCACATTTTTTTTAAATTCAAATGTTTTTGTTGTTGTTTCTGTTTTTCTTTGGGGGGGGGGGGTGCTATTCTGGGCCCTCTTTATAAAATATGAGGTGGGGGGCTACTTCCTATGCCCCTGGACAAAATTGTTCAACAACACTAACCCTTCCATTACTTTAGCAATATAGGGTAACTGCATTTCAATACTATGTTCATCTTCA